ACAGCATTGCAGAAGCATGCAGTAGAGGCTCACCCTGCACCCCTGACACGTCAAAGCAGATATAACATCTTTCCATGTCTTTTATATTGATGGGAATCTTGAAGGTAATCCCAGTGTGTTCTTTAAAAACCTATTACTGAGGGTTATATGTGTAACACAGTCCTTTGAGTAATAATGTAGATTGAACACTGAAATCCAGTGAAGACACAATCCAGATGAAAAATGAAAGCCAGGAGTCAGAAAGACAGGAGTGAGGGGCTGGGGATGTAGCTCAGGGGCACAAGTGCCTGCCTGGCAAGCGCAGGGTCCTGAGTTTTATTCCTAATGCCTAAAAAAACAAATCACAAACAAACAAACAAGCCAGGATTGAATTTGATCTCATCCACTTTAAGAATCTGGTTAATTTTGGTATGCTCAGTTTCATCTGTGAAATGAAAGTCGTAATGCCTACTTTACAGTTATTGAGTCACTAAATGAAGTGTACAATGTTCAACCCAGTTCTTGCTATTCAATGAGCATCCAATAAATGTTAGGTTCTTTTTCTTCATTGCATGTACATACGTTCAAGTGGGAAGGAAATGAACACGATAAAGAAAGTAATTGTCACATTAAGAAAAAAAGTCATTATCTCTCAAGTATAAACATGAAAAAGGCAAATAAAAAATGAATATAATGTCATGAATCATTCTAAAAATAAAAACCCTGAAAGAGAGGAAGCAGGAAGCTGTCACAGAAGTGTGGGCAAGAGATGGTGAGTGAACCTTGTATCAACATGGCAAATGCACATGGCGAGAACGTTTCACATTTAAATCAATTTTTGTTGTTTCTTGCAAATCATGTTGATCTGGAAGAGGCAAAAGACCAACTCGTTAGTGACTGAATAAATGATGATCATTTCTTGAAATGAGGCAGACTGGAGACGAAGCAGGATTGGATACGTGTGAGTGGGAACGAAAGTTCTGGCCTCAAACTGAAATGCCTGAGATATTCAAGTGGAGATGTCAAGGTCTAGAAGTGCATAGCAAGCGCCTGATCCTCAGTCCTGACACTCCTTTTTGTCCTAAAAAGTAAGTATGGCTATAAAGCCCATCACTACACTGAGGAATTCGACCTTGCAGAGATTGGAAAACACAAGTAGAGCCAGCAGAGAAATGAGTGAAATAGGGGAGAACAGTTTGGAACCAAGGCAGGCTAACAAAGTATCCATAGCTGCTCAGTAGGTTGAAGTTTAAAAAACACCAACAGATAGAAACAAGGAGGGAAGCACAGCTGTAACCTAGCACTTAGGCAGAGGCACAAGTCCAAGTTTGAGTGTCACCTGGCAACTTAGACCCTTTCAAAATTGAAACACACATACACATGTCACACAGGGGTGTGCATATGGCTGGAGATGCAGTTCAGTGCGAAAGTCCAAGGTTCAGAACAGTAGGTTCAATCCCAGGACAGTACTACAAAATAAACGAGAATGAAACCTGTGGAGGTAGACTTTGGAAGTTATTTTGGGAGACGAGGACAAAACCCCAAGTAACAGTAATGGAACACGAGACCAAAAGTTAAGGTTTGATTTTTAAATGGCCACACTGTGTTCAGAAACTTCTAGTGAGTTTCTGCCACACTCAGAAAACATATGAATTCCTTCCCACGACTTAGAAATTCCCCCAAGATCAAGGCCTTGCTATGTCTGTTTTTCTCTGCTCTTAGCCGTGCTAGTCTTCTACTGTCCCTTCAGTAAACCAAGCTCCCTTCAACGCCTTTGCATTGTTAACATCTCTAGTTCTTTTCTCACTTCTGTGCATGGCTTTCCCTGATCACTGTATTAATACAATGCCTTCCCTGCAGCCTTGAAGTAGTGATCCTTGCCTGTAGATCTAACCTACAAAAGGAAACAAAATCTAAACCAGGTAGACCACTTTTGATACTGCTTTAAGGTTATAAAAAGCAAAGGAAATCTTTTAAATCAGCTCTTTTCATGGAGCTACTGGTTTACTTACAACTCTATCAATATTGTTGCAAAGGTCCCCAGTAATGGCTTCTTTTCACCTAAGTTCTCAGAAAGCCACAACAGTTAACAAGCTTAAGTTACTTAGAAAAAAATCAGTTTGAGGAAATGTGGGCATGAAAAAAAGGTTAATCCTTTCTGTAAATTCATACTCTATACCTTAATTTACTCTCAATTTCCTAGCTGCTTCAGGGTACTGTTCGTTCAGGTTACCATCATTTGATTCCCCCATAAACTATTTTAAAGTTTTCCTTAAATCTATAGAGGTATCTCAATCTGAAGACCATAAACTTTTACATACTATTTTGTAGTAGTGTAAAGCACTTCCACATCCCCATCATATTTATTACAGTCTGTCTTAATAAACCGACTCAATGCTTAGTTTGCAAAAGGTCAGTAGTGTGTTCTGACTTCTAAGACACTGACAGCAGAGACAGGACGGTGGGAGACATTGTAGGAAACAGAATCAAGAGTGAAACAGTAAAAATGAGAAATTAAGGATGACAACCAGGTTTATTGCTAGAGCGATCAGAAGGGCAGCGTTGTCATCACTCATCATGGTGGAAGAGAAAAAATGGTTTGAGTAAGGAGGAAATCATGAAATCACTTTTGGGCATGCAGGATTTCAGGTGCCTGCGAGAAATGCACTTAAGATGGTTGTGTGTACCAGCTTAGTGTGGGTTGTGCCATATCCTTGCATTAATATTTAGTTTCTTGAATTGCAATGACTAAAGAATTTTGCTCTCAAGCTTATAACTTCAGGAACTCCAACAACCTTATTAGTAAGTCATTTGATTTCCTTTTCCTAACTCTGGAGTATCATTCTACCTATAAGCATTTTGTTCTGATATTTTAAAATAACTATGAACCAACTGGGAGCTTGTGAACTCACACACACAACTGTTTTAGATTTTAAAATACTCAGACACTGATTTTCTCTTTTGATATGTATTTCCTTCTCCATGAATAATTCTTTCTGAAGTTGAATCATTATTCCTATAACAAGAAACAGGAGAAAATATGGAAAAAGGCACTTGACAAGTAAGATCTTCTAAGACCTGTTATAATAAATTTTAAAAAGAAAAAATGAAACATTTAAATACCTTGCAGTTTGACAGTGCAAAATCAAGAAGTGATGGAAATTAATTCTTAAATTTTATCATCTAAAAGTAATTATTGCAATTGCTTCACTCTTGGATATTTAAAATTCTCTATCTTAATTGCACACAGCATTTTGCTAACAGTATTTATTATGAAAAACAATGATTTAAATTTGGGGGACACTAACCTTATCATTCTGGGTTTTTTTTTTATCGGTACCGGGGATCGAACTCATGACTGCCTGCTTGCAAGTCAGGCACTTATGCAGCTGAGCTAAACCTCCAGCCCCAACCTTATCATTCTGGCATGTTTAGTCTTGATAATAAATACAACTTTGGTTCCCAAGAAATGCTTTTGGGGAAAGCTGACATAAAGGATGCCATTTAAGGAAGAGTATGGTAGGTAAAAGGCCACTGGAGAGGACTGTTTTCTTAAGTATCTCAAGGGGAGGCATTACTGTTTGGGCAGGGAAAAAAAAAAAAAAAAAAAAAAAAACCACCGAAAATGCTACTGATGAGGAAGTAAATGCCACACAGTAAAATGTATATTGAGTATTTTCTACTGAATCAATCCAGAACTGGCATATCTTGATGACCTGCTGAAGTACTGTGGCAATTTTATTTGTTTTTTTTGGTACCAAGGTTTGAACTCATGATCTAGCAATTGCCAGGCAGGTGCTCATGCCGCTGAGCTAAATGCCAGCTTATTCTCTACTTTTTAAGGCTGTCCCTGTATCATTTTATGGACAGCATACCATAACCTAACGAAGCACACAGCGGTCTTGGCATGAAATGACAGGAAGTGGGAAGCAAGCTATGACTTTCTTAGACAATTATTCCGGTTTAAACTAATCAACAGAATTCCGCTTCAGTGACAATTCTGTGAAGTACTTCCGACTCTTACATAGAATGACAAAACTGTACCAGGACTAAAAGCATGGATTTTAGCAGCAGCCAGAATCTGGTTTAGGTTAGCAGTTTCTTTGTTAATCTTGGAAGTAGTTTCTAATCTTTTGAAGCTTCACTCTCCTTTTAGTAAATGAGGAAGTTAATACTTACATTATAGGGCCATCTGAGGATTAAAAGTGACCAAGTATAAAATATATTACATAATATAGACAAGTTCAACTATGACTTTGCTGAACTTTATGAATGTATTTTTTTAAACCATCACTTTAACCATTTCCCTAAAACTACAAATCTTTAAAAAAGCAGTTAACTGGACATTGACTAATTTTCATCTATTACCATCGATTTAGTTTTCCTTTGAAGAAGCACTGTGTGGTAACACTGTATTGAAGGCCAAGCAGAGACTCTAGCTTCAATGCTGGCAATGTCGAAACTATTGTACTTATTTGTGGGTGGTAACTTGGTAACAGTGTAAAGTAAATTTGGAAAACCTATACATAAGCACATAAGACATTTCTTAAGAGTACAGTTGATTCATTTCTCAAATGAACATACTATAATGTCCTATCTCAGTTGCTGAGACATACTGACTTTTAAATATTATCCTAATTTTTTTCACTTAGATTGGTTATTTTTTGTTTTATGTGATAAGCTAAGAATGAATACACACAAAGAACAATAATAATAGTCTTGGTTTAAATATCTGCCATGTAACAGAAAGAAAAAATCTAGACTTAGTTGCAATGGATTTCCAAACCAATTAACACTATGTATTGACACACTAAAAAAAAGAACAAACAAATAATAGTATGTATGTCTGTGCAGATGCAATCAAAGATGAGTATCATTAGAAGTATGTATGAACTCAGTTAAAAAATATACCTTTAAATAAAACAAAAAATCTCATCAAAAGCTTCCCATTTTTACATTCTCCTCCAGTAATTATCTCTTACTTGACCATCTGATAGCTCTAACACAGTAATAAAAAGTCATTTTACATTTCATGATAGGTTTAATTAGGTGATTCCAGAGAAGGAAAAAACCATTAAAACAATTCTTATGGTATCATCTGATATATCCAATTACATGGGTATGATGTAACAAAAACAGTTACAAACTTATATATGCATATTTACATTATATACTCAAAAGTATCAAGCTAGTCAATTATATCTGAGGAGATACATTATGACATGGATTAAACATTTTTCATTGCTCATTAGAAAGAATGCAGTCAAGCCTTTAATGGAAGTAATATACAAGTGAGGCACTTTTGAGGTCAAGAGAATAGAAAGCAAATGACACTACACATGGGGAACGGTCACAAAAATCTATGTGTATCTTTAATACAAAGGCTTTTCACCTAAATTATTTTGAAAATTTTCAAAACTAACAATGTAAGCAGTTTAGGAAGCTTTCAGGAACAACGGCTAACATTTATCAATGTAGCAAAGCATATGAAAGTTTTATAACCACCTGGCTGCTAGGAAAACAGTACCTTAAAGCCCTTTTGTTTTTTATTTTTTTGGTTTACATAAAACACCTCCGGTTGTTTTTGAAAAAGGTTTTTCAAACGCTGACTGAATGCAAAACACCTTGTAGTGCTGTAGTCATGATTTGTAGACTTTTTAGTGCAATAATATGTAATGCAAGTTTGTAGTGCTTTCCCTCACACTTAAAAATGTGGAAATGAAGGTTAATCAGGAGTGAAAATAATACTTAGTGAGGAAGTCTCTTTAATTAACTAAGGTTTTCAAAGTTTTATAAAGAAATGTTACACTTGTTTAATGTACCTTTGGGCTACAATTAAAAATCTAATCTTAAATACATATTTGCAGGTTATATATTCCAAGTATAATCATAAAAGCCTAAAACAAATTTCAACAAAAGAAACACCCATAAAATTCTTTATATTTCCAATCAAAAGGAAAGTACATGTTTCTTGTACTCTGAATACTTACATGGATATTAAGAAACACCTACATGCCATTAATTAAGGAGAGAAAAGGGGAAAAGGAAAAGAAAAGCAAGACTTACCCAAGATATCAGATGGCACTGTACATGAGTTGAAAGTGCATTTGTGTAACTTCAAAAGCTCATTTTAGGCACTGCTGAATAACCAATGAAAATAGGTAGTCTCAAGTTTTTCCCTTTCAGTTTTAATCCCTGCTTCATCATAATCTTTCCAGAAACATACACACAGTCCCTCTAAAGTTGTCACGGTAAAATACAGGCCATTATGTTATTTATTTTTAAAAAGTCTCCCTGCCTGGCAGTGGGAGGAAAAGTGAGAATACCATTTTGGTAATGGCTTTTGCGAGTTAAAGGAACTGGTTCTATAAATGCCTTAGCGTATCCATTAAGTACGACTGCCAGTTCCAAATATCAATAAATACTTTAAAATAGGATAGTAAAAAAGTGCTTAAAATCTTTCAGTAACCAACAAAATGCATTAGAGAAAAGAAGCGTTTTACAGTTCCTATGAGATATTTCTTACTTCTGGTTTCCACGGTAGGAGGTGGCCACCTCATGAATAGCCCTTTACTAGTAGTAGTGAGGAACCCTGTGGGGACCCTTAGCTCCACCTCATGTGCCTGTCTGGAAATCATCCAGTAGGTGGTGCTGAAGTTCCAGATACACATTTCTTCAGGATGCAAATTACTCTTTTAAGCTAGGAGAAATACAATTCGAAATCTATCAATTCTGAACAAAATAAGTTCATCAAGCCACATTTTTTCCTGTTTCGCCATTTAGATGACTTCATTTTCAAAATTTCCTTTAACAGTTTTAAACTGTTGAGCCATCTGCTTTTACAATCAGATTAAACAAAAGTTTTCAAAAGAAATGCCAAATTGGTATAGAACAAGAAAACATCCCTCAATGTTTATACACATATTTGAGAATCAGAGTTAAATTATCTTACTTTCACACAGGAAGTCTCACTTACAAGAGAAAATTTCCACCTAGGGGTTCAGGTCACACTGTATAGACTTAATTGGAAACTGGGTATCTTAAGAAGTTTCAAGGTGAAATAAAAACCATTTCATCGCCATAGTTTTTAATGAAGAAACTTGTTTAAAATTATAAAGGAAAAAACTGGGGATGGGACAGTAAAATCTTAGCAGCAAAGTGGTTAAACAAATTGAAAATATTAATGCACAAACATTAAAATATTAAAGCATATACGTTGCATATAAAATACAGTACAGAACCAGGAGTAGCACTATACTGATTAGTGCTTAACAGAAGAAATGATTAAACTTGTTCTCAGAAATATATACACAGTTCTTTTCCACAGCATTTTCCTACAGAGCCAGCAAGTTATTTTCTTCAGGTATTCACACCTTGCTAAAACCTGAATTATGAACTTAGCACTTACAAGTATGAAAATTCATTCACAAGGAAACCAGTATTTCCATTTCACCAATAAAAAGGAATTTTGAAAGTTAACAGTCTATTCTAGGAAACCAAGTTTACTGAAAACTTGAGGGATAAAGATCATCTGGTGTAGCAGCGTTCAAAAGTATAAACAATAAAAATAAGACTTAAAACTGCTGCTACAGTGTCATGGTTTGGATTTAGTTCATCCAATTGATTTTTAGTACAAAACTAGAAATAACCTCTTCATAACATCTATAGTTATCAATATATTTCTCTTCTTTTCAATGTGAAATAATACTTCATGATGATCTATATACACAATGTTGTCAGTTCAAGCTGTCATATAAATATAAATGCTTTTTTAAAAAAAGTATTTTACAGACAGATAGTGTTATATACATTATTCAGTTTGATCTGGGGCAAAAGAAAAAAGCAAACATAAGCTTAAGTTTGATATGTAAAACAAATGATACATAAATGACATTTAAAGACTTACATAGAAAATGAGCTCAAATGGTAGTGTGATTTAAACTTTTATGACCTCTGAAACACTAAGCCATTAAAAAAGGAGGGGGGAAGGCACACTTCTCAACTTTATCCCACTAAGGGAATGATCTCAAAGAATCCATTACTTTGTTCGATTTCATAGTAATACTTATAAGAAAAGACAGTGAGGAAGAAGACAAAAAGAGATGGAGACAGCGACAAAGAAGACAAGATGAAGAAGGAAAAGAGAATTTGACCCCAAAGTACTTTTAAAACTCTGCTGTAACATGTGTCCTACTACGTCGTAAATTTAACACCCAGGAACACAATACTCTGCAAAAGAAACGAATTTTTATGTACAAGACACTTCATTCACAACGCTGGATTAAATACTTTCCTGGGGTAGTTTAACACACATTTTAACATAAAATAATTTTCTTTTTGGCAGATTTAAATAAAATAAAATGCAACTAAGAAAAGCTGTCCTTGTTCTATGAATAAACACCGAGGATCAAGCTAAAAGACTAGTAACACAGCTGAACATATTCTGGTTTAGCAAATGATAAATGGAGACCAAGAGGAAAGTGTTTCATAATAACTATCCAGTTATATTTTTGCCTTATAAATCATTTGTAAATGCAATATAATTTTTTAAAGGAGGAAACTCTGAAAGAAAACAACTTGCTGGTTGAATACCACAAAAAACAAAACTACAAAAAACTTCACTTTTTTTCTATGTTTACTCAGTCTCTTTTTATATAAAAATAAGTGTTACATCCCCATCAGAACATTAGACAATTACATCTGTGCTTTAAAAAAAAAGTTGGTCACTCAAAGATATTAGAATATTTTAAAGGATTTAGATTACCAGAATGTACAGATATAACTCAATATAAACTGTAGCCAAAAAGAAACGAGGATGAAAATATCAAATCATTCACATGGAATAAAAACGTTATTAATTAGATGAGTTAAATATTCAAAAGATATGGAATGTGACAGTAGATACATATATCTACTTCAGATCAAGGAAGGGCAAGAAAGTTTAATATGTCATAATTCGTACCTTACATTTAGTTCAATATAAACATTTGTTATTTATACATAAAACTGCTTTCAAAAACCAACTAACAAATGATTTAGTTGCACTTGCCTTTTACTTCTTGTCATTTCCAAGTGTTAACTTTTCTTAGACTGAAATCAGCTGTATCCTAGTGCACTTTTTAGTTCGTCCTAATATAATTAAACCTTTAAAAGTCCCATCACCTAATGCATAAATATACAAAAATTAATCCCTTTTAGTTGGATCGTATTTTATGGTGACTTTTTATAGTCAAGAACCAGGTATGATTATATCCTCCTGCAAGTACTCTACAACCTGTAACAAAATATGCCATGCACTCAAGGAAAGAAGTTAAGCATGGCTCGCGTGTGAAATGCCAAGAACTGAAGAGTTCCGCTTCTTCCACGTGTGGCCCCAGTGATACCAGGCAAGGTTTCTACTGCTTGCCAAAAGCTTCCATAAATCCGAGTTAGCTAATTCCTGGAAACAAAGACTTTAAGCTCATTTTGGCACTGGACCATTTCATCCAGCAGCTTTATGTTTCCCACCACAGCACCCACACGCCTCCCCACAGCGATGGCACATTCGCAAAGGGACGTAGCAGCACATACATGGTACAATGAAAGACAAAGCTACCAGGGCTAGCCATCGTAGGCAGAACTTGTCATCACTAGTGTCACACGAACAAGGGTCAGAAAAGTCTCCCTCTGAGTCTGACATACAATGATACAGCATGCTCTCCGCACAGAGCATGCAACTAACTTGATATATGCATCTTTTAATAGGATCTGGAGCATCCTGACATTTCCCCCTCCCATTTTCTTCATGGTTAAACCTTTCCTGGCAGTACACGCAGCGAGAACGTTCACCATCCTCTTTTCTTCGCTTTGATTTCTTAACTTTTAATGGTTGTGTCTTAAATACCACAGAGTCTTTGAGAGAACTTAGCTTAGTCTCATCCCCGCAGGAGTAGAGATAGTCTGACTTTTTACTGTCCGGCTTAGAAAAGTGAACACTGGAATCAGCATCGTCTCTCTCCAAGTCATTTTTCCACATGTCAGGATGCCTATAGTCCGCATACCGGCGTATTAGGATATCTCGAGGATTTATTCTGACAATTTCATCCTCATCTTGAAAGCTGACATGTCTGACTGACTTCAGAGGAACCTAAAAATGAAAGAGCAACAGTAAGAACTATGACAGTTAGTATTAAGTGCTGACTTTATAGAAGGCCTGATAGGTATTTGTTCAAACGTTATTCTCCAAGTTCTGTGATTTGCTTTTTGGATGAGGACCTTGAGTGAAGCACAGCATCTCCATGAACAGGTGAGCCCAACCAATCAGTCTGCGGACTGAAAGCAAACCCTGCTCTCCCAGAGCAAGACGAAGCTTTCCCAAGAGGCTTCTTCTGGACTTAGGTCATTAACTCTCCTCTGGGTCTCCAGACTGATAGCTTACCTAGAAACTCTGGATATGTGCCTCCACTATCACATGAGCCAATTCCTCAAAATAAAATTATCTGCAAATCTTTCTGATTCTGTACAGAGGAACCCTAACAGAGATTTTGATGCCAAGAAAGGGGTGGGGTGGAACTGTTTTTTGAAAATGAAGAAACAGGTCTGGAATTACGTAGCGGGTAGAGGTAGAAAGAGTTTCAGATGTGTGTGAGAAAGAACGTTTGCAAGACTACAGGTAGAAATCAATGGTGACTTTAAAGGTCCTTCTGGTGACACTTCAGATGGGAATGAGGAATGGAAAAAGGCAGTCCTGCCTGACCATAAAGTGGCAAAGAACTTGGACAAACTATGTTGTAGTGGTTTTTAATTATTCTTGGAAGAAGGTAAGACTTGTAAATGATAAACACATGGACAGTCAGAAGCAGTGTGGCTTAGTCTGTCCAAACAACAAAAATAAATTGAAAAAAGGAATTGTTAATTAAAATGAAACCAGAATTTGAAGATTTGAAAAGCTCTCAGTCTAACTGTATTGCCAAAAAATGAGAAAAGGGCATCCTAGAGAACAGCAAGGACATGACTGACAATCACAGGATGAAGCAAAATGATGCCAAATTAGCCCACAGGAGCCAGAGACAGGATGAAAAAGGTGAAATGAAGATAGGCTCCAGGCTTCTGCAGGGTGTGCTAAAAGAGCTATAAGTGTGTGAGCATTCACCATCCCTTAAAGAGACGGGAACCGGCCCCTGAGGATAAGGCTGCCTCCTTCAGTCCCTGGGCCTTGGCTGTGATGTTAATACTGAAGGCTGAGGTGGTGGAATCATCAGCCCAGTGGGCCTAGAGGATGGCTCAAAAAGCCAAACAGGATTAGTCCCAAACTTTAAAATCCAGCGAAATTTTCTCTTTAGGGTTAGACTTCCACAGGACCAAGCGTAGCTCCCTCATTTCAATTTCTCACCTTTGAAATGAGAATGTCTGTCCTATGCTTCCCTATCACAGTACTTCGGAAATCTTAACTGTTTTCACAGGTTCACAGCTGGAGAGAAAATTTGCCTTAAGACAAACCATACCTTGACTCTTAAGTCATTTTTGGTGGAGGTGATTATTTAGGAGAATATGGATTTAGAGTAGAGGGGAACAGGTTAAGACTAAGGATGGTGGGATAAAGGTGTGTACACATTGCATATGTCAAGGGAATGACTTTTAGGGTCAGAGCGCAGAATGTTGTGGGCTGAACCACGTCCTCCCCAGTATATCAAAATAGGAGACAACTGGAGTCAGTTTTTAAAATAAGGCAAAAAGAGCAGGCTGTAACTAATCTTACTAGTGTCTTTAAGAAAAGAAATTTGGAATTCACTAGGGATGCAGAAAAGAAAAACATTGTGAACACACAGCAAATTTGTGGCCATCTATCAGCCAAGGAGAAATGGTTCAGAAGAAACCAAACATACTGTACCTTTGATCTTGGTTTTCTAGCACCCAGAAAGAACTATGAGAAAGCATAGTCTTATTATAGTCACTCAGTACTTTGCTCTGGTAGCCCCAGCAAACACTTACCACTAGGACATACATGTCTACAGCCTGTCTAGCCAGTCTCTGAAACATGACTTAAACAATACCAAACAAGCACACATTAGCAGTCATCACCCATCCCATCTCTGCCCCCATATACAGCTCTCTGAGGTTAAGGAACAAAATTGTCTTTTTTTGGTAGTCAAATTCTTATGTCCACTTGACAGTTCCTCAATGCAGGGGCTAGTCTACAAGTAAACAACTAAAACACCTTTTATTTCCAATATTTGGAAGTAGGGTTCAATTCCAAGTCTGGTCTAAAGGTGGAGGGATGGATACAGCCCATTCACTTAACAATGTAAAATGGTCTCATCTAATGATAAATACAGACTCAAAGAGAAGTGTGGAGGGAGTTTAATAGGATTCTTTAATCCCATAAGCACAACTGGAAACTGAAAATTTTTGTGGTACCCTTAACTATTATGTAGAGAACTAGAAGAACTATAAAATTTCACCTATATGCTAAGTCGCTCTACCTCTTATCAGAAGATTTTACTCACCCTATTTTGGGACTTTAGACTTCCGGATTCCTTAGAGACTTGTCGCTGTACATACTCCGTACTTCTGCTCTGAATGTCTAGGCCCGGCTGACTAAATGTTACCTAGAATACAAACATTTTCCACATTAAATGATAACAGAATGAATCTCTTACTTTTAGCGAAACCACATAAAGTGTACATTCCAAAATTTCACAATCTGTTGTGATGTTATAAAAGCATTGAGTCATACTCGCCACCTTTATTTATTTTTTGTAAATTAGGTTTTTCTTTTCTTCTTTTCTTTCCTTTTTACAGTGGTGGGGCTGAAATCTAGGCCTCATATACATGCTAGGCAAACATTTTACAACAGCAGTATCTCCACCTGCAAGTAATGTGTCCTTCAAAATAACAAACAGCCAAGTATCTGCCAACTAATGATGGTGTAAATAAAGTAACAGCTACATATAATGGAATATTCCTCAACTCAAAAAGGAAAAAAGTAGTGATATATATAGAAGCTGAGGGACAAAAAGTAGGGTCAACTATTACTAGTACAGAGTTGGGAGGGGCATAAAAATGTTCTGGAACAGTAATGATTATACAATCTTGTGAATATACTAATATTTACCAAACTATATACTTTAAACGGGTGGCTTTATGTATTATTTAATATCTTCATACATTTCTTAAGTTTATTGAATTTTAAAGTTCATTTCATGACTAGATTACAAAATAATGCTTAGTTTTTAGAATTTTATGATGAAAATTTAGATATACACAAAAGGAGAAGATAGCAATGTGTCTATTATCCAGCTCTGACAATTATCAATATTTCAGTAATCCTGCTTTCTTATTTCCCTGGAACTTTTTACTTAAAGAAATCATAGCCTTGAAAAGAAAAAGGAATACATGTACATGACAAAATTTCCAACAGTATAAAATGCATACAGTGAAAAAATATTCCATCCACCTCAGACCTTCAGGGCCCATCATCACAGAAGTTAACCACTGTAAACCAATTTTAGTGTATTATTCTAGAAATGTATACATACATACACGCAAACATACATAAAAGCATATATGGTGATCTTTAATGTATTAAATACAATGAGACAGTTGTACTATGCCTTGTTTTTCACACTTAGTGATACATTATGGATCCCATTTCTATAATGAAGACATTTAAGAATTCAGGAATAGTGGTCACTATAGATTAAGTGGTCTAGTAAGGCTTCATAAAGTAAACACAGAATGAGTTAAATATCTGGCCAAATATAAGAACAACAAAAGAAACAAACAACAGAGAATTATTGAAAAGGAAGTAGAAAGGTTTATTTTTTTTACAAAAAACAATAATCTCAAATAATACATGAAATATATATAACCTGAAACATACTTCAAAAATGTTTACTTATTATCTGAATTTCAGGTTCAGAAATGTCACATATGCACCTTTAAAACAGATTTGGCTGGGCGTGGTGGCTCACGCCTCTAATCCCAGCACTCAAGAGGATGAGGCAGGAGGATTGTTGCAAGTTCGAGATCAGCCTGGGCTGGGCTACAAAGTGAGCTCAAGGCCAGCATGAACTGCATAGCAAGACCCTGTCTCAAAAAAAGACCAAAAAAATAAAAAATAAAATAAAAATTGAAAACTACCTCAGTGAATAGTTTATAAATATTAGTCCTCTCTCATGATACATAAATAAAGACAAATGGACAACACAGTTTTATACTTAGTAAGCATTGGTTGTATAATGCACACCACAATTAACTGCTGCTTTTTAAAACACTTGAATTTTGGTGCCTTTGTACAGTACTTAAGAGAATTTATCATGGAAAATGACAACAGAGTTTCTTCAAATTTAGTCATAAATGAGAATTTTAAAAAGATTCCATTTACAATGATAATCACAACAAAATAGTTATAAACAAAAAAATCTTACATAAAGATGTACAGATCTTGTCATGAAAAAAATGCAGTTTTCTTAAGAGCAACAGAACTAAATAGAGACAGATCATATTTGTGAGACTGACTGAAGTATAGTCGAAACTAAAGCAGTCAATGTAATTCACATTTAAGTCATTTGAAGATTCTTTTCAGCAAGCTTGACAAGGTGATTCTAAATTTTATGGAAAGTCAAGAAGCCAAGGTGGGGAGGGGGGGGGAGTAAGTATACTTGTAGTACTTGTCTCAGGACTTACTATACAGCTACAATTATTCTACGATAAAGATGAGGTGACACTGATGTGACAGACAAAGACCAATAGACCAGCGACTAGAAGCAGACCCAAACATAAGGGTTTTCACGTATGAGACTTGACAGATGATCAGCATAGTACATGAATGGGGAAAGGCTCTAACACATGGTGTGAACAATACATTACCTGTACAGAAAAAATAAAATTGGGACTTATCATGGAAAGCAGATTAAAGACAAAATTTCAAAACTCTCAGAATAGGGAGAAAATTCTGGAAACAAAGAACAGGAGAATCTGGGAAATGAATTGTTCCAACTGCAGTAGTCTGGAACATCTGCTCAGTGAAGCACCATAGAGAGAGTGGAAACGATCACAAACTAGGAAATATTGGCCATAAATGTAATTTTAAAAAAAGAATCTGTACTCAAAATATGTAGAGATGTGACACTGAAAATGTTATTACTTAGCAAGGTTATATTACAGAATGTAGTTATATCAAGCTGTAAAGAACCACCACAGCTATTTCTATAATCTTTCAAACGTTAAACATGTGACCCCTGAACATATGGAACACACCAATCATACAGACTAATTTGTTTACAGGCTTTTATAGCACAATGACACCAAATATCCACAGTAGTGACACAAAGGGCCCTAAAGAAATTCATGTGTTTGAATAACTAGAGACAAAGTCTACACTAACACTATTCATAAAAACAATAAAAACCTAGAAACTGCAGAAGAAATCCACTGAAAGAAAAAGTTAAGTCTCAGAAATCAAGAGCTTAATAATACTAAGCAAATGCAATTCAAGGCAATGGTGACCTTTGGATGAAGATAAGAGGATAGTCTTGAAGACAAGGGGGTAGTTTTAATTTTTAAAAGTTAATACGTGGGGCTGGGAGTTTAGCTCAGCGGCATAAGCGCCTTCCTTGTAAGCAGGCAGTCGTGAGTTCTATCCCTGGTACCAATAAAAATGAAAAAGACAAAAAAAAAAAAGTTAATACATATTAAATATCATAATCTGAGTATATCAGCATTTTGAATCAAGGCATTCACCTAACAAATTTAAACAGTTCACAGAAACATTTAAAATTAAAAAAAAAAAAGAGTCAAAAGACCACACTGGAGGGGAGGCAGAGAACCAGGCTTCACAAAAGTCTGGAAACCAGCACCATGTGCGTGCTGCGCTGGAGTGGGGAACAGCAAGACCCAGGTCTCACAAGGATGTGATCCCACCTAGAAACCATATCACTTCACGGTTTTGTTGGGCTGGGTTTTATTCTCTTTTGTTTTTTTGTTTATGTTAAATCCAATCACATGAGTAGCTATTTAAAAAATAGCAAGACATATTATGGTAGCCATTTTGGATTTATTATTAGCTTATTTTGGAGACCTTTATTGCATTCATTTTTTTATTGTTTCTGCTCTATTGTGTTCTGTTCAATTTTTACTGTGTCTGAAGGTATCTGTAGCTATTTTTGAAGACAAGAGGAATTATAATAACTACTGCTGATCTTGTAAGATTAAGTCTTGTATCACTTATACTAGTTTACCTTGATTGGTTTTATTTTCTTTGTTTTATCCTTTTTAAAAAAAATACCACATAAGTAATGTCTATATAAACATTAGTAGATAGAAGAATCTAAGCTAGGGTTGACAGTTCTTCATGTATCTCCTTTCTGCAAATGTACTGAGTTTCCTTTGTTTCCAAAAATTGCTTCAAGAATATATGTGTAGTGAAATTCTTGAAAGATACAGGGTTCCATCTGTGAAGATGGAACTTGCTTAGTGTCAAAATAACAAAGACAATTATCTTGGTCCATAATAAAAACCAGGTAAGTTAACTTCCCAGAATATAATACTTCATTACACTGTGGGTTCCAATGTACATGCAGTGTACACACGACTGTCACCCCCATGTATCAGCGAACTAACACACACGAGACAATCTATTATATTATACTGCAAGTAAGTCTTTTGAGTCTGATCCAGCAGTGCTATACCTTCTGGCAGAATTCAAAATCCAGCAGGTTAACTTGCTTACAGATAAGTGCAAATCTTTGATTCAGGATCAGGAAGGCACTTATTAGTCCTGTCCTTTTGTCTAGTCTGTCCCTATATTGTAAAAGCTGGTTCATCAAGTAGTTTATATAATATGCACTTAAATATTCAAAATACATCAATTATTCTTAATATTTTTACACACTAAGCTTTTAGTGACGATCCAATATATTATGAAGATCTATTCTATGTAGAGAATATGCTAAGTCAGCTACCAAGAGTACTGGTGTTTATGATGGTTTAAACTGAATTTTACACCATAGCTTTTTTACATTATCATTTTTTAAAAACTTGATAATTAGAATCTTTGATAAATGGATTTAGGTCTTAGTTATCAGGAAATGAGACTTCTGATCTGCAAATTAAGCACACATTGTATAACAGAAAATTCATGCGGTGGGGCTTTTCAGGTCGCATCCAAATATGTAACTGGTATACAATACTAACCGTACTAGCTAACATAAATGTTTTATGGCTGGTTAAGAAACGTCTATCATGTATTTACTACCTATTAGCTTTAAAACAGAAAACTATTCCATTCACTTCATCCTGAGATGTTGCCTGTTTTAACATTAGTAAGTACAAAGCAAATTCACAGAACCACGATGGCAAGATGTGCTTCCCAAAGTCCACCTGCTGGAAACCAGAATGCTCAGTGGAACCCTGTTGAGAGGGGACTGACACCTTAAGAGGTAAACAGCGAATCAATCCCACTATCCCAAGAGTGGGCTCCTGATAAAAGAGCAAGCTTGTTCCCTTCCTCTTTTTCTCTCCTGTGCTATCACCTTCTGTCTTCTGCCATGCAATGACAAAGCAAGAAAGCCTTTACCCTTTGCTGGCACTTGGTAACACCTGATTT